AAAATATAGGCTACAGTCACATAGCGGGTAGACACAGAAGGGGAATAAATAACTAAAATCCAAATTCAATTCCTGTTAACTCAAAGCATATACATACAGATCAGAAATATCAAAGTGAAAACATACTGGCGGTGCCAGAGCCAACTCTTGGTTTCTAAAAATGCTCAGGACAGGATTTGGATGTTTTAAAAACTATCCTAGGTCACACCAAAGTCTCCTTAGTCCATGTTAATCTTTGCTGGGTGCCCCAAGGAACCATTCTGTTGGTCAGTGTAGTTAGTTATCTCCTTATGTACCTGCCTACCACTCCTAACTAGCCATTAGCTCTTCATCATAATTTTTATCCCTCCATTAATTTACCTAAAATTTATCAGCTTATTCTAATTGTACAAAACCCCATTTTTAAAGTTTGAAATTAAATGCTTCAGAATATTCTAGGATTCCAAGTTTTAATCCTATTCTAGGATTCTCTTTTAAATAAGTTGTGACAGTAAAATCCAATGTATAATTTAAAGCAGAAGCTTGTACTAGAGGTTTTTTTTTCATTTTTTTCTAATCTATTTTACGTTTATACTTCAAGTGGGGTACACAAGGTTGTACTCTTGTCTCTACTGCTAACTCTGTGCCCTTGAATACATTTCTTAACCTGTTGGAGGTCTATTTTTCTCATAAAAAACGTTTAGTATCTATCCTGAGTTGCAAAGTTCAAGTGAAAAGTGGATATGAAAGTGCTTAGAAATATAGTGTGACTCTTATTATTCTAGGTCTAATGATCATGTTGCTATAATAAAGGACTTTTTCTAGATTTCCTGTTAAGTACCTTCCAACTCTAAAATTCCTCTGAATCCTTATCAACACCATGGTACCTATAAGGCAGCATGATCTACTTAAAGGTTTTTCTTTTAAAAACCTGTTTTACTTATTTTCAAGAGCGTGATGCCAAATTGTGTTCTTAAATATATATTTTTAAAATATAATAAAGCAAACCTACTTCATAATGTAATTCAAGGTTGAGAAAATATGCATGTTTTTAAGTTGGTGGCAAAAAGTAAAAACCTTTAAAATTGTAATCAAGGGAACAGAAGCTTAGTGTATATAAGAATCTATCTTGAATTTCTGATGGAGGTGACAAGTGACTCACTGCCTTACTAAACAAGTAAATGCACCTGAAATATGGCAAAAAAGAAAACATTGGTAAAGCATTTTGAGATTCTCAGCCAAAGTACCAATCATGTTTTCATGAAAGAGAGACAGAGGTCATAACCTGGTGGCCCTTGGTTCTATCCAGTTAAATGTTTTGCTGGCTTACTAAATGTTTAAAAAGTATTTGAACCAATATTTAAAAATCAAGAGATTTCATATAAAGTCCACATTTCAGCTCCTCTTGACAAATCTGGCAACATTAGGCCCATATTCCCCTATGGTAAAATTTGGCTAGGGCTGGGAAGTGATGCCCCATTTAGATGAGCACGGAGTTCTCCAGTTTCCGAAACTACTGCCTATTGTTTCCCATTACTTTACCTGCCCAGCTACTACAGGCACTTGATTTTGCAACTTAACACAGCTACTGCAACGGCTTATATGCCAAAGTGTCCTATTTTATCATTAATGGGCATTAAGAAGCAAAAATACAGTCTCTGGGAACTGAGGGAGCAATCCTGTTTTTATGTAAAGAACAGGATATTTTTCTTTTGTGAATATTTAAGTTCCTTTTAAGTAAATTCAATCTGGCTAGTCCAGGTTGTGGATGGGGGTAGCAAGGATGGTAGTAGGAAAATGGCAAAAATGTATCTTTTATCCAAGACGTTGTTGACTAATAGATGAATTTTCAAATGCATAATTAGAATTCTGAATGTAAACTAACATGAAAAAAGTGAGAGCCCAAACAGAAAGTGTTTTTCAGCAGATACAACGTAGTAATGCTCACTCTCACTCAAGTGGCTGCCCACCTGCCAGCAGAGTGCCTAATTTGGATTGATAATGTTTTGCTATCTGGCATCTGCTGGTAGAAGAATGTTGCAACATGTTCAATTTGGCTAATTAATCCAGACTCATGTGAATAAAATGTGTGGTGTCAGTTTCTGGAATGTGCCTAGGCCTAAGAACGGGAACTGTTCTTGGGTAAACTTGGATGATCCTATTGGTTTTGGTATCCTTCAGTAGCAGACACTACTATTAAGTTAGTAGAATATGACACATGCTACTTACGCAAAATGCCTCTTTCTAATAATTTTTGCTATTTTAAAATTCAGTACTAGAAAATGGTCCTAAAAATGTTAGTTATTAATCTTTAAAAAAGGTATTTGATTATGTGATGAGCTTTTTACATTCTCAGCATCTGAGATATATAGCTATTTCAACAGTGTGCAAGGAAATGGAAATAAATGTTTCTTTCCTCAGCGTTTCTCAAAACCTAATCCTCAGATCACCTGCGTCAAAATCCCCTGGACAATTATTTAAAATACAGATTTTTCTGGAGGCTTCCCCAGACTCTCTGAATTAGAATCTCTAATTTTTAATTAAGTTCCCCACATTAAACTTGGAGAACCACTGTCTTAGATTCATTCTCTCAATAAATATTTAATGCCTACTATGTGACCAAATTGGTCTGAAGTTATTAGTAACTACCATACACTGACTGCATACCATGTGCAATACACAAAGCTAAAGCACTTTATATATACAAGGTGTGATCAAAAGATAGTGAATGTTTACATAAAAAAATTTATTACAGTAAAAGACACAGTCATTAATCCCCCTCAAAATACTTCTCTTCACTTTGAACACACTTATCCCATTGTTCTTGCCACTTTCTGAAGCAGTTCTGGAGGTCCTCTTTTGTGAGTGTCTTTACTTCATCCTCCATCATGACAATGCTCCCTTGTCACACGTTGCTTCTGGTATAGCAATTTCTGTCAAATACAAACATTATGGTGTGTCCTCATCCGCCTATTCCCTGGATCTGGCACCATGCGACTTCTGGCTCTTCCCCAAAGTCAAAATGATCATGAAAGGAAAACATTTTGAATTGATTCAGGACATCGAGGCAGCCACGATAGCACATTAAAGACACTCAAGGAAGAGGACTTCCAGAACTGCAACAGAAAGTGGCAAGAACAATGATAAGTGTTTTCAAAGCGAGGGGGTGTATTTTGACGGGTTAATGGCAATGTGTCTTTTACTGTAATACATTTTTTATTTAAACTGTAGTTTTTGATCACACCTCATATTTTATTCATTCTATTCAACAATCCTGAGAAGTTTTGTGGCTCCATTTAATAGGTGATAAATAGAATGAGTAAACTGTCCAAAGTCACCAGCTAGTGAATGGCCCTGTTTCTGAAACCCAGATCTGATTCTAAAATCTGTGGTCTTAACTGGTATATTATTTTGCCTTACTTGAATCTGGAGTCAACTTAACCTTGTTTTATAATCCCACATGAGCAAATTTCCTTCTACACAAAAGAAATGACTGATGGAGTGCATTACTTAACTTTCAATATGATGGCTAACGATAGTCTATACCAACCTAAGAGTTTCTGCTTTCCCAGAGCACTTTGTTCTGCTCCCCTAAGTGATCACTTATCTTTCATGATCAAATATAAGTCTAGGATAGGAGGAGGTACATAAGCTTGGCAGTTTTGGGAACTTTCCTCTTGTGATTATGAAGTAAATTCTGCAAACAGGTCTCTATCCAGTGGGCAGGGAATGTTCCTAATGTAGTATGTATTAAGTATAATCTTGATTTTGCAATTTTTAATAGGCTCCGAGGAATGCTACCAAAAAGCTATCATGAGAACACCAGGACCAATTAGGACTTGCAAGAGAATTTCAGGAAGAAAAATAACATTGCCTAAATTGGAATGTGGCCAGATGGCCAGCAGTTGCCTTGGTATCTGCTTTGATAACATCAAGATTCATCTGTATATGAATTGCAGGGCCCACACATCTTTCATCAACAGTCCTCAGGGTGCCATGAGTTGAAACTCATGAAACTATGCTGACATCAGTACACTTCGCTGCAGATTACATTGCATCAGCTCCAAGTGTAGGCAGAGTAGCAGCAACACTTTATTAAAGGTAGGCAGTTTACGTTGCCAGTCCAGGGTAATAATGCATACTCTACAAAGACAGGATTAAATGCTAAGCTCTTCTTTGTAGGATACCACAGAAGGATGCATGTGCTGAAAAGTGGGATGGATTCAACTAGCAAGTTACAGCACAGGTAGATGTAGTTACATTTGAGAAAGCTTAACTATGACTGGGAAAGTATGAATACTGTGAAATATTCTTGCAAAAAAATGTTAAATTGAATCCAATCAAGGCTCTACACCAACTTCTGGTTTACAAGAAATAAGAAAAAAGGAGACAAATACCCTGGCCAGAAGTCTTCAAAATGCCAGTGTCACAAGGGAAAAAAAGGATGGAAGAGCTGTCAAGGTTAAGGCTAACGTTACAATACCCAAATACAACATGGAAACCTTGACTGGATCCTGATAGTGTTTGCTGGGCGGGGAGGGGGGTAAGGTTTAAAAGATATTCTTGGGTCAAATGATAAAATGTACATATAAACTGGATTTTAAATATTAAAGAATTATTAATTTCCTTAATTGTAATAAGGGTGTGTTTAGCAGAACTTTATAATTCTTAGGAAATACATGTCGGAAATTTTAGGGGTGTCTCCCTAATAATAGGTGTCCACAACCTATTTCTAAATGGCTCAATGACAATGAAAAATGTGTGAAAAAGGATGAATATGGCCAAAAGTTTACTGTTGGATCTAAGTGAAGGGCATATTAATGTTTATTTTTAAATGTAGGAATATTTTTTAAATAAAATTGGGGGAAGAAATCATGTTGGACAGTCTTCAGAGCGGAAGCCTAAGAAAAGGTTGAGTAGTGGGGACTATGCTGAATTTCTGATAAACTGGAGTTCCATAAAACTTTGGTGGCCGTATCTTGGGCTTCCAGGATATATTCAATCTTTCAGTAAGTACTTACCAAAATATCATGTGCAGTGTAAAATGATAGGCAGATGAATCTGGTACAAGCCATTCTATTTAGGCATGAACATAGTAGTGAAGCGAAGAACATAAGCATAAGCAGCTGTTACATAAAATAGTGGTTGTCATACAAGGTACAAAAAGTGCTAGGTTAAGCTCAGAGGAAACTACTTCCTTCTGTGGAGAATCTGGAAACACATCTCCAAGGATAACTAGGGCGTGGATCCAGAATCACAAAAGGTTGGTGCTTCCGTGATTACCTTTGGAAAAAACAATAGTTCATTTTGGCTGGAGTATGAATGAATACTAAGGAAGCAGAAATTAAGAAGGCAGGTTTGCACCCTTGTTGGTGACTGGCTGGGTATAAACAATTTTCAATTTATCTGAAAGTTCTCCTGGTCCCCCGCCCAGGAGCTTTAGGCATCCAACCCTGTACTACCAAAGTGACTGACGGTTCTCGATTCATGCCTACAGAAGGAACCACATAAATACTGTGTGACAGCTCTTGTAAGGAGCCATACAGAAGTAATACTGTGTTTCACTTTAAATTGTTAAATAAACCGTAGACATGCAGGATTAGTACACTATACCTTCATCCAGAACTGCAGTCAATGCTCACAAACCCTCAAGAGAGAAAAAGCAATGAAAAGGGAGACTATTCAGAATGTCAAGGCAGGAGGTCGGGGAAATGAGACTTGGAAGTGTTGCTGCGGCAGTGGGAGGCCATCCTTTTCCTTTATAGCTGGGAATGGAAAATGATTTCCTCAAGCTCCTGAATTTTCTGTCCTCCAAAGGTCAGGGGGTAAAAGTACTTAACCGGAACTTGCGGGGTCACGAGCTCCTACTTGCAGGAGTTGGGGGAACCGCCTGGAGGCCCGCGCCCAGGCCCCTCCCGTCCCGCCTGGCTGCAGCTGGGCGACGGGGATGGCGGTGGAGCGGCCTCGCCCCACAGGGATCCTCAGAGGGGCGGAGGGAGGGCGGGCCGCCGCCGGGCCAGCCCGGAAAGAAAACCTTCTTCCAGCGGAAGCAGCTCGGAGCCCCGCTTGCCTCCCCGGCGCTTCGTCTCCTAGGGACCGTCCGGCCCAGGCCTGCACCACGGGTCGAGGCCGAGGGACACTCACCTTGCTTCGCGACTCCAGTCGGAATGGTCACTCCCTGGGGCGCGAGGGGAGCAAACTATTCCCACCCTTCCGCCATGACCCCATTCAGAAGTGCCCAATACAACTTCCGGGCAGGACAGGGATTTTTGGAGCCCTAAACTCTTGGCCACTTAGGTAAGTGACCAGACGTCCCAGCAAACTAAGGGCCAGGAAACCTGCTCCCCCCTCTCCCACAATCCGGGCAGGTAGTCCTTAATATGAATTAACTTGTCTAACGTGGGATGTCTGGTCACCTTTGGTCCCGTTTTGGGCCTACTTACAGATGCTTCTTTTCCCAGACGGCTCAACTGTTGCCCAGGGCAACGGAGAGATTGGGCGAAGGGAAACTACGTCACACTGGAGACGGGAAGCTAGAAAAACTCCCGTTGCCGTTACCAGTGATGGCGGCCCTAGCTTCAGCGGCAACTTCCGACTGAGTTGTCACTCTACCCTACTGGAGGCTCACTCTGCGGCGCCCAGTGGGCGGGAGAGAGGGCGTAGGGGAGTGGAGGAAAGGAAAAGGGCGGAGAGAGGGAAGCTGGCACCAATGCATCCTTCTGATTGGGTAGCGGCGCTGGCGCCAGTGCCTCAATCTGATTGGGCAGTGTCGATACTTCGGGCTCCGCCTGTTTTCCTTCCCCAGCGAGTGACCGGCCTGCGCCGGAGGGTGGGGCGGGGCGGTAGGAGCCAGAGTGTGTGGAGGGGCGGGGGGCAGCGGTTGGGCAGCGTCGCTTCTAAGGAGGAGGAGGAAGGAGGGCGAGCGAGGAGGATGGCGGAGTCGGGGCTCCTGACGGTAACCAGGGGCCGCTGAGGCGGGAGGGTGTCTCTGGGTCGGTTCTTCCTGCCCTCCTTCCACCCCGTCGGGCGGTGGGGCTGGCTGTCGGTAGGGGGAGGCCCCGCGCGCCCTGACAGGCGCGAGCCGGCGGGGCCGGGGCGAGGCCCGAGGGGCTGGGGCCCTGGGAGGCGCCGCCGCCGCCGCGGCTTTCCTGGGTGCTGTCGCCGGGAGGGCTGGGCCCTTGGAGTCGGCTCTCGTGCGGGTCCCACCGCTGGGCGCCAAGAGCAACCCCACCGACTCTGACAGCGACCCGGGCCAGGCCTGCGGTGGCGGCGGGCGGCCGGCACAGCGCCCGGGCGACGGTAAGCCGGCGCGAGGGCGCGGGCTGGGGGCGTCTGGCGGACGGTCCTGTTCCACTCGGCTCCCAGAGCCATCGGGCCCAGGCTGCTGGGCGACCCGTGGGCGTCCGGGAGGGCGTGTAAATCGTTGGCGGGGTCCCTGGCGCAGCGGTAGTGGTACGGGGTGGGGTCTTTCCTCGCCCCCTCCCCAAAGCCCACCGCGCTCTCCTCGTCTCCCCTCCCTTCGGTGAAGAGTGGTGAGTAGGTTTTGGGTGTGTTGCCTGGTGGAGCGAGTTGTAGGCATCCAAGACTGCCCTGTTGGACATGCCTGATGGCAACCTCTTTCGCGGTAGCTTTTGGGGATAGAGGAAAAGTACTCTCACCCCCACCCCTTCCCAGCTAAACGCTAGAGGCTTCAGGGCAAAACGGTTTTTCCTCAGCCCCTCAGTATCCATTGTTTTGTACCATCCTCCTCCCCCACCCCATGCCAGGGTACAAGAATAATGACTCCAAACCATTAATTGCCCCCCCCCCCCTCCATCAGCCGAGGGTTTGTGTTATTGTGTTAGTATGGGTTTACAAACAGGTGTAATGAATACCAATTCGGGAGCTGGAAAGAAGATGCTTTTGTGTGTGTTTGCTTACAGTTGCTGATTGGATTTTTGTCTTTCTGTTGCTTTGTATTGTAATCGGGGTGATGAGAATAAAAGAGGAAGCAGTGTTTTGCAACCTACCCAAAGAAATGTTTTCTAAGTCTCTGGGGATGCTGAAGCAAAATTGGGTTGCAGATGTGGACTGTACAGTATTTGCCTCCATCAAAACTACCAACAGTCTATATCTAAACTTAACCCCGTGCAAGTCTGTACACTCCTTAAATGTCAGCAGCTTCTAGTATGTACTCAGGGATTACTGTATCTAAAACTTAATTTTTCTTATGTTTTTCAGAATCCTAGGGTACACTTGTGTAACCAAGATATTTTTTGTATCTAAATGTAGCATCAACACTGAAAAATTGTCTTAATTGTAAAGATCTCAGTTTATTAGTGTACTAATCTCTACCCCTTACCCTTCCAAGCCATAGCCCTTATAACTGCTTGTTACTTTGTATTTGAAGAGATTTAGCTATTGGGTACAATTTGTAACATTGAGTAAGCTTACTTTTGTAGTTTGAACTTAACAATTGTTGAGGTTTTTCTATGTCACAGTGACAAGAATTTTGAGGAATAACGTATATAAATGATGATTCCCTACACATAGAACTTAGACTGAATAAGATCAGTCTTTTAGATACTTGTTTGGACATACGTTACACTGTAAAACTTTAATTATGAATATACATTTGAAAAATAGACCACAGGCAAATACTTTGTGTAAGATTTGCAGCTTTCAAATGGCTTAATTGTAATATAAAGCTAACATGTAAAACTAATTCCTTTTTTCCAGTTTATTGAGAAATAAGTGACACATTACTGTATAAGTTTAAAGTGTACAGCGTGATGGTTTGATTTACAGGTATTGTGAAATGATTACTACAATGGGTTCAGCTAACATCCATCTTCTCATATAGATAAAATGAAAAGAAAAAGAAAAGGAAAAAAATTTCTCCTTGGGATGAGAACTCTTAGGATTTACTCTAACAACTTTCCTGTATATCATACAGCAGTGTTAGCTTTAGTCATCATGTTGTACGTTATATCCCTAGTACTCATTTATTGTATAACTGGAAGTTTGTACCTTTTGATCGCCTTCCTCCAAATAACCCCCCTTCCCCCCCATTCTCCATCTCTGGTAACCACAAGTCTGATCTCTTTCTATGAGGTTTTGTTTGTTTGTTTGCTTAGATTCCACATCTAAGTGAGATCATACAGTATTTGTCTTTCTCTGTCTGATTTATTTCACTTAGCACGCCTTCAAGTTTCATCTGTTGTCGAAAATGGTAGGATTTCCTTGTAAAACTGTATTTTTGAAATGTCAGTTTCAAGGTATGGACCCTGGCCTGTCTCTAAGGTTACTGTTTTTTCCCAAGGTATTTGTTTAGTTTTTGAAGAAACAACTACATTTATGTCATATTGACATTGTTTTCTGATCTTTCATTGTTAATACAATTTTCAAGTGTTTAAATTTTTCTCTTATTTCTTATAAATTGTTATGGATTAAAGAGTGATATTAAGAAATATGTTAATAGCTTGCAGCTGCACTATTTTTTAGTTTTTAAATTACCATATTCAGAAAGTTTATCTGAGCTGTTTTGATAATTGTAGCAAGAAAGAGCCATACAACTTGTGAACTACAAACCAGTCAGAAATTTGAAACATTTTTCTTTTCAAAAGGAACAGCAAAATTATAAATCCTTTTGTTAAACTTGGTGGAATTATGCTTTTTAAATATTACTGTTGCTTCGGTAACTTATGACAGGGCTTGTTCCATGTTCAGGGAGACATAAAGTAACATTCTCTGTAGAATACTCCTAATGATAGTTTGTGAATAGCTGCTGGTATATTTTTTGCCTTGGCTTACCCAAATGTGAATTGTGGGGGAAGGATGAATAAAATTGGAATTCTTTGTTATCCAGGCAGTTAAATTTCAGTCATTTGTTTTAAAGACATGCTGGATTATCAATATCTGTTGTGTAATTTAATATTTCTGTAGGACTTGTATTCTTTAAACAATGTAAATAATTTTTAGATTTTTTCTAGTAAGGTATTTAAACATAAAAATATTCTGTCGTGTTTTTGACTAAAACATATACTCTACTCTGTATATGTACAGATATAAGGATTAATATTTTTGGAGGTTCAAGATTAAATAAAACGTATCTTTAGAATTCAGTTTACTATATGTATCATTCATGTATGAAAAAAACATAAAATCTATGTTTATAACAACAACAACAAATGAAACAAGACCAGCCCCCCTCCAAAACAATAAAAAACAACCAAACAAGTTGACCTGTCAGCCCTTCAATGAGTTCTGAGATTTATAGCTTGGCTTTGGTGGAAATGTTCTTGAACTAGTTTATAAAATATCGATTAGGAGAAGAAATTTAGATATAAAATAAACACTTTGCCATTTCTTAATAAGACTAGTAGGAAATTGGTAATTATTTTTTTATAGATGAATTAGATAGAAATTGGTTGTAATTTAGCAGCAGAGTGATACATTAAGTACTTTTATGTGGTACTTGAGAAGTGAGTACTGCAAATATTAAATTGGTGCTAGTTTTGTTTATGTTTTATGCATTATATATTATGCATTAGGCATATTATAATTTAAGGCTAAATCTTTCATATATATGTGTATATATATGTATATATGACATGTATATACTTGATATATATGTATATATGTATATATGTATATTTATATATACATACATATATATAATTTGTTATTCTGTTATCTCTGTCTTCTGAATTTTGTCTACTTGTTGCACTGCATCAAAGTTATATCCTATAGTTCTTTCTGTAAATATTTTCTCTGTTAATATGGCAGTTGAAATTTTGTATTTTCCTACATTTCTGTCTACAGTAACTTTTAAAATCTGAAAAATGTACAAGCTATAAGGTGACCTATGGTATGCTTGAACTTGATATATTATAGAGTGTTCTGAAATTTAATTGTCAATCAGTGTAGGTTGAGAGGAGCATGCATAAGTCTGAGAAACTAATTTATGTTCTAAAATATGTAGTTGCATTATTTTAAGGTAAACTAATGTTCATTCTGTCTTTGTTAGGTATTTTACCCTGGTTCCCCTGGTTCTCAACTTTATAACAAATCAAAGTTCTAACACATGAAAATAATATTTTAATTACAAAGGGCTCTTCAGCTTTTGAGTGAGATGTTGGAAACATATGTGCTTTTGGAGAAAGTATGACGCTCCCATTATCAAAATTTAAAAGAACTAATTAGATTTCACACTATATATCTCATTGCAATTTCTCTAAAGATCAGAACTGGTTGCAAAAAGGAGTACATACTGTAGAAGGCAAGGGTCTTTTGTTGGAAACAATGAACATATTGCTTGAAGCTAAAACATTACAGGATACCTTTAAAGGGTATAATTGGTCCCTATGTGAAATGAACCTGAAAGACTTTCATGAAGTATTTGGCATGCCTAACTTCTCATGTTTATAGCACTGTGAACACTCACAATTTAAGCACTTTATTTGCTCTCAAATATTATTTATAAATTCTACAATTTTAAGGAATTTTACAGTTGACCAAGATAAATCTTTTTTTTTAGTTTTTCTAATGTCATGGAGGTAAAGTGGAAATGACTTGTTCTGACACTGATAATGTCTAGAATTTGCTGTGAATTTCATCAGTTAAATTTTGGCTTTCTCAGTTTCTAGTTTTGTGTTGTACAGCACTCCTTCCTGCTTTCAAAACTTTCACAGTTTTGTAGATGGTCTTTATGTTAACTTTTAAATTTTGTTCTATAAATATTTTTCACTAACTACAGTTTCATATTCATTAATGTCATAAACCTTCTACTGATCAGCATGTTATGTCCCAGACTCTGGAGATGCTGAGATAAATATACTGTTTCCTGCTCTCAGTAAGTTCAGTTTGTTGCATACGCTGGACAAATCAGTAGTTAGATGTTGTAGCGTGACAAGTGCTTTAATAGCAGTGTATACTGAAGAACTCAGATGAGTTAAGACTCAAACTACATGTATAACTAGCATTGCTTACTAAGAAGACTGGGCCTGAAGTAACTCTTGAGGAATACGTAGACTAAGTAGAGGTTAGAAAAAGCATAGAAGTTAGAGATGTTAAGGTTCATTTGGAGAATTTCAGGTGAATAGCAATTTAGATTCCTTGTATAACCTAGCATTTTAGGTGATAGAGTAGGCTTTCATTAAACTCATATTTTTTAAGATTGTTATTTCTTGTGTGCCTAATTTAGTTTGGGCCTTGAACTGAAGATCTGCATTAATATTGAGGAACTGCTCCAAATTATTATTTAAAATTTTACATAGTATATATTTAATTAATATTTCAGTTAACAAATGGAGTTTGCC